AGCGCCTGTTACTGGCACAGAAGCTGAGGGATAGCATGATCTTGACCAACCCTGTTATTTCATCAAGCATTGGCTTAAGAGAAGAGACTGAAGTGATTTCTTCACTTTAATGATCAGTGACAGAGGAAGGACTGAAACGTGGACCATTGCTCTTGTGTGTGGTCCCCAACAAAACACCTCAAGCTAGCATGATTTTGTCATCTGTTCACCTGCTTCTAAAATGAGGGCCCTTCTGACCTCTCCCTGAGTGGGCCAGGCCAGGAAGCGTGTAATAGGACAGATAGGGATGTGACTTGGAGCTGCACTAAAGGACAGCATCTCTCTCCCAGAGACTCAGGATGTAGGAGAACTCCTAACCTACTGTGGGAGTCAATGTGCCTGCCATGTTTCACCTCTGGGGCAACGAGGAGGAAACCAGGGCAGTGGGGAATGACATGAACTCCTTGGTGTGGGTGTGAATTCCATGACCTTGGCTTAGTCTCCTCTGGGTCAGTTACTATACAGATCCCTCCCAGGCAGCATTAGGCCCTCAGGACTTCTGCACTTGTAGCTTTTGCTTAGGACATTCCCCTTACATGGCATGACTCCATCTCCCATGGGGCTTAGACTGCTTGCTAATGTGACTTCCCAAGGGCAAAAGGGGATTAGGATATCCATTATAGTCTGAATTCACCACAGCACCTAGGCCACTGGGTGGCCCAGCTCCTGGATGAGACTAGGGAGCTTCCTGGGGAAAGGTATTAATCACTTGCCTCTGAATCTTCAGGGCCCAGCATCTACCTGCCCCTCAGGGAACCAGTGCTGGCTAGTTTCCTGTATCAATGAACATTATTTCCACTTCCATCTTTGACTATAAAAAAGAGCCTTCAACAGAGTATGAAACCAAAATGCCAATTTAAAAAGTACTATAATTCTGGTTTAAGAAACAAGTTACCAGCCGGTGTGGTGGTGCATGACTTTAATCTCGGCACTCAGGGAGGCAGAGGCAGGCAGATCTCTATGAGTTCGAGGCCAGCCTCATCTTGAAAAACAAACAAGAATCAAGTTACCTGCAGAGTTTTAGTTTTCAACACTGACATCAAGTGTAGAAAGCACTCTAAGAATAAATAGCATCCTACAATGAGGATGCACTACCAACACAACCTGGCCCCGTAAAGTAAAAGGTATTGTACCCAAAGGTTTCCCAGTGTGGGTTCATCTTGTGGCTGGCAGGTGAGAAGCCACAGTTAAGGGGTTTCTTTTAGATTTTAACACTGTATCTCTGTATCTCATGTTGCCCAGGCTAGTTTCAAACTTTTGATGCTCCTGCCTCCACTTCCAGTGCTCAGATTACAGGTGTGAGCAACCACACCAGCTGGATGCAGGAACTGAGAAGGAGGCAGAGACCGGAATCACCCTCATTTCAGGGCAGGCCTGCCCTTCCCACAGAGAACAGAAAACTCAGAAAACTGAATGACCTGTAATTTCACTTTCTCTTCTAAGCTATCATAATCCCAATTTTAAACTCCATCTCTTCTTGGAAAAAAAAAACAACAACAACAACAACAAAAAACCTTTCAAATGATTGTAACTGCTTCAGCCTGGGTCTGTACATGGGACTCCTCCAAGCCCCATGAAGTACTTTAAGAAGGAATGTTCTACGTGTCCTTTGGGCAAGAGCCTTTCAATCTTCTGAAGGCTCAGTTTCCTTATCTGTTAAATGGAAGAGTGAACCAAGCTGGACGATGCTGGTTTGTGAGGCCCAGGAGGTGAGGACACTATACTGAGCCACCCCTGTCCTATTAGAATAACATAGTCTCTGCAGAGGACTTAGCTCACGCTTGCGGCTTGGTGGGTATACAATAAACAAGTTATTTTCACATTGGCACCGAGAGAATAGCACAGTTCTGAGGGAATGCTGTGTGGGATGGGGGAGGAATAAGAGGATGTGGGAAGGAGGAAAGAAACAGATATTGCGGTTTCCAGACCTCTATGGTACAGAATCTAGAGCTCTGGACAGAGAACAATGCTACGGCCACCTCTGAAATTTCCAGAACACTGTAAAATTCTGCCGTCTGGTTTTATACTTTCCCCTAGTCCCCCCCCCCCCCCCCCAGCTCCCAGAGCAATGGCCCACAGTACAAACACACCTGTCTGGGAACTGTTGTTTGGATTTTGGGTAGTTTCATGACCCACTGGTCACCCAATTCAGAGATACCCAGTCATTAGGTTGTGAAAAGAACACTTGATTCTTCAGTGGCTGTGGCTACTCTAAATCTCACCCAGCACTACAAAGGGAATCTTGGTCACTGGCCTCAGCACACATGCAAACAAAATTGCCTGAATCTGGGTCAGAAGGGAAGGTCCAGACCAGGGACAATTCTGACTGCCTGGGTATCTATCCACAGACATTGCTTCTCAACACTGGCTGGGAAACAGTCACCTGAAGGCCTGCAGAGCGTAAATAAACGTAAACCCTAGGTCGCCCCCGACCTACTAAGCACTTCAGCGGCGAAGCCCAGAAGTAGCTTCAGATGTAGCACAGCTGACTGAGCTGTGAAGCGCAGCTGAAGAGAATGCCTGGTACAGGTGTCATGTTCTCAACTTGGGGGAAATGACTAGGAGTTTACATAGGAGACAAAAGCAGTTGTCTTTAATTTTTTTTCCCTGGGGCCATCTGCAGACAGACTGGTCTGTTCCAGTGTCCCTGGCTCTCTAACAGGAAACCAGTCAGGAGGCCCCTGCACACAGGTGAATAACCACCCCAGGCCTTCTTTATCACCTTGAGAAAACTTAAAAGGTTCACTTCTTAATGACATGAGCTTCAAGGTCAGCTAACAGGAAGGGAGCAGTTGTTTTGTGGCAGGCCTATGAGAGTCAGAAATGACAAGCCTCTGGGAGCAACACCACACTGCTCTCATTTTGGGTCCATTTATGAGCCCTGCTCATGGGGCTTTATCAGCTCATTGCAGCAAAATCTTCAGGGAAACGTCTTCCCTGACATGATTTATTGCTTATGAGCAAAATATAAATTGGGGCTGGTGGGATGACTCAGTGGCAGAGGTGCCAAGTACACAGAGCTGATAACCTGAGTTTGATCACCAGATCCCAAAAGAACTGACTCCTGAGAGCTGTCCTCTGACCCCCCCCCGCCCCACATACACACACTTAAAACCAAATATGTTTGATGTTAGACAAGTCAGTCAACCTCTTGAGCACCCTGTGTCTATGGTAATAACGTCTTCTAAAATTCTGTTGGATCTTAATCCATAATTTCTGCATGTGAATTGCCAACTAACAAATCTACACATAACTTGCCAGTCAAAAGAGCTGTTAAGGTTACCAGGGAGGGGTAGGGCGAAGGTGAAAGCACCAATATGGGAGTTAGGGTACTTGGGAGTCAGCTCTTTGCCCTGACTTGGCTTAGCGGAGTGTTTGGCAAGTTCACCCGGTTCTTTGGGCCGCTTCACAAACACAGCACACATACAGGGCTAAGAACGGGCTAACGTCCTCCACCACAAAGCACCTGCAGACTCCCCTGCGGTGCCCTTATAACCCCTTGAGCCATAGCAAACACAGAACCATCGTAATGGCTTAAGCCCTGGCTAGGTGCTTTGACAGGCAGAGGGGAGCATCAGCTAAATTCAAGGTCCTGTACCATCTGGCCACCTCTACCGTTAGAGCAATTTAAAAGAGCAGTAGCCAGTAATTCCAATTCTTTCAGAAGCTGAGGCAAGAGGGCCACAAGTTCCAGACCAGCCTGGGCAACACAGGGACACCTTTTCTGGGGGGAGAGAAAGAAAGAGGAGCAAGAGCAGTAGAGAAGAATTAGAAGTAGGCACCTTTGGTCCCAATGCTGGGGGTTGGGGGATGGCAGAGGTAGGAGGATCACTATACATTTCAGGTCAGCCAAGTCTACTCGGCAAGTTCCAGGCTACACAGGGAGACATTAAGAAGGGAAGAGAAAATAATATTAAGAAGATGGATGTTGGTAAACCCAAATTGTTGTCTTTTTGTTTTGTTTTTGAGGCAGGGTCTCAATATGTAGTCCAGACTGGCCTTAAATTCACAATCTTCCTGCCTTAGCAAGTGCTGGGGCTATAGTCACACACCATCATGTACAGCCCTTGAATTGTATTTTAATTTAATTTTTTTTAAATGTATTTTACTGTGTGTGTGTGTGTTTTGAGACAAAGGCTCATTATTGTAACCCATTGCTGGTCTCAAACTCATTACCCTCTTACCTAGAGAATGCTGGGATTGTGAAACAATTCCTTTTTGTTTGTTTTGAGACAGGGTCTCTCTCTATAGCTCTGGCTGTCCTGGAACTCACCATGTAGACTAGACTGGCCTTGAATTTGACAGAGATCCGACAGCCTCTGCCTCCCTAGTGCTAGGATTAAATACGTGTGCCACCAAGCCGGGTTTAAACAACTCTTTGTGACTAGTCCAAGATGCTTACTGGTGTGACGGAAGGAAACTCACATGAGAAAGTGGTGAATTCCAGCACCTATTCCAACCATTAGTCAAATCACTTTGGACAAGTCCCTCGACCTCTGTGAAACGCAAACAAACAGGAGCAGAATTTAGGTAGGCTGTCAGACCATATGTTCAAATTCCTATTCTCAACGGCTGGGTGACTTTGGGCAAGTGTTAATTTTAACGTTCTTGTGCCTCGGTTTTTCTCATCTGCAAAATGGGAATACATCCAAAAACTACCACCCCCCCTCCCAAACGTTGCCGTGACAAGTAATGGAAAGCATCCATTCAGACGAATGAGTGCCTGCCACAATCCTCGAACCAATACGGATCAATAAACTCCGGCCTTCACTCTTGCACCTGTGCCTCGCGGGTCTTCAGCCGCCGAGAAGCACCGGTCTCGAGTTAGCGGAGCGCCCTGGGGTTCGGTCGAATAGCAGAGTCCGCTTCCTCGGACCCTGCCCTCTCCTCGCAGTCCGCCGCCCGCCTTAAAACCCTCCAGGAACCCCAGTTCCCTCCCTGCTGTCGGCGCCGACTCTTACTGGACGACCTTGGCTGGATCCCCGTGGTTGCCATAGACCAGCGCCCGCACCCGGGACGGCTCAGAGAAAGCGGAGTAGGAGGAGGCTGTGTGGCCGCGGCGGCGCCAAGCCTCGGGGAGACTCACAAGCAGAGGCGCCCGCGATCGCGCCCATGTCAGGCGCCCGCTGACCGACATGCTGCTTCCTGCACTGGCAGAACCCGGCACGCCTGGTTACGTCATCCGTCCGCGACCGCCAGGCTGCGCCCCGCCTCGCTCGTGGCCACGCCCCTCCTTTTAAAAGAGGCGGAGCCCAGCTCTCCGTCCACGTAGCAGTGTGGGGAGAAATTGCTCCTTGCGTGGCTTGAGGGTTCGGGGTGGGATGGCGAAGGAAATTCAGAGACCTAGAGAAGAAGTTGCAGAACCAACCAAAGAAGCCTTCCCAACGAAGAGAGTCCAGGACTGGCCTAACGCTGCGACTGTTGCTTGCCGCATGGTGTTTGTTTGGGGGGAAGTCATTTACATTCTGTCCTCAGTTTCCCCTTCCCACCCTCTATTGAACTGTCACTGTGCCACGCTCTTTAAAGTATCATTTAATCTCCAGTTCCCGAGAACAACACAGGGACTTTTAGGCTGGCCTCAAACTCAGAGATCCGTCAGCTTCTGCCTCCAGAATGCTTGAATTAAAGGCATGCACGACTCACTACACGGAGACTTAGAAGCTACTTCTCTGCCACCAGCTGACAAGGAAGCAGGAACACGGGGCTCAAATCCTAGCCCTGCTCTTCCCTAGCTTGGGCAAGTGAGCACAACTCCGAGCCTGTTTCTCATCGGTGCCATGAAAATTATATATCTCATTTCAGACTGCCGTGAGGCTTGAATGAAACATTAGAAGAATGTTATGGTGGACATTGTAAAAACGTCGAGTTGTTCAGGTATGAGAGGAATCACAAGGAGGAAGACGTCTTTTAAAATGTTCACAGCGTACGAAGGGATTGTGTGGGAAAGTGGAAATTCTTTGTAAAGAGGTATAGACCTGTAAGGATGCAGGGTCTTATTTTTGGTGGAGGGAGGACATACGCATAAACACTCCCGCCCCCTCCGTGGAATGTTAGTGCATGCAAGCGTGCACAATTGTGGTCTGAAGAAAGGGGGCACTACTTGATGAAGGCAGGCTGGGACTTTTGAAGGAGGTGCTGTTGGAGCCTTCGACTCCAAATCTGAGTGCACGGAACTCGTATGAGGTTCCGTTTTAGGCCTACTGATTTTGAATCATGGGAGAGGTACATGGTCCAAAAGTATATATCCTTACAAGCTCTGCAGAGTATGATGATGTGGTACCAGGGGAATAAATGTTAAAGCTTTTGAAGGATGAAGATGATTGATCCAAAGCTTGTCATGGGAAACAAACAAACTTTTCTCTGAGGATGAGAGCCCAAAAAAGCATGGAGGGTAAGCATTTGGGAACTGGACTCAGGCAGATCTAGATTTGAGTCCTGTTTGATTTGATGTTTGGATTAGTCACATGGTTTCTCTGTGTCTCTGTTTACCTCGTGGTTAAATTTAAGGGAACCAAATTAGGGCTGTAGCTCAGTGGTAGAGCATACACTTAGCATGTGTGAGGTCCTGGGTTTCATCTCTAACAAGGCAAAACAACAACAACAACAAATAAGAGACTAGTAACTAAGAGACGACTAAGAGACTAATAGTCTGATGGAAATAGTACCGCTTGACGCCCTTAGCACATTGCTTGGCCTATGAAACGTTCTAAAACCGTTCCGGGGATATGCTGTGCAAATGAAATGAGAAAGATCACAGATAAAACACAAAGGCTTAACACACATACATGCTCAATAACTGCATTTATTAGAGAAAACTGATGGCTACCGGTGGGAGAAAAGCCTGGCCCCGCAGTTCTGTATGTACATGTACACACACGTGACATTGACAGGATGTCCTTGTGCCAGGAAGTTCATAAGGTTCCTCTGCTGTAGGAACCTCCAGATGACATTGAGATGTTCCTATTTATCTCTCTTTGCCCCTCACTGGCTCTTCTTCCTCCCTGGGAGGCCAACTAGGAATTCCTGGAGAATCGGCATTAGGCTGTCCTCCCTGAGGCTGGACTTCTTCCCCCTCCACATCCCTGTGGCCTCTCACTTTTGGTCTAGATCACCTGGGTACACCCAGGGACACACTTTGAGAATCACCGACCCAAGGGTTCAAACCCTAATAGTCTTAGCTTTGCATTTCAAGACCATGTGTACTTTGATGCCTACCCTGCCCTTCTGGCTTCACCTTTCACCCTTAAGCTGGACAGAGCAGTGACCCAGCTACACCTGACCCTGCCTTTGCCAGCTCTCCCTTGTCTCATGCTGTTCTTCAGGTTGCTACTGCCGGAGAGGAATTTTCCTGTCTAACCCACCAGCGGAGTTCCAGGTCCAGATATTGTTTTACTGAGTCAAGCCCAATGCCTTTGTGTTTTCTCGGGGCTAATGTTCTGGCCTTTAGGATGCTGCCTCATAGTTGTTTATACGTTCGCTTCCTCCTCCAGGCAAGAGTGGGGCCTCATTTAGTTCCTCTCCAGGATGCCAGCACCCAATATGGGGCCTAGCATGGGCTAGGCATCATACATATTCCATGAGCTGCAGGTAATTGAATTTCTTCCTGACCTGGCACTGCCTGTGGAACCCTATCCTTCTCCCTAGATTTGGGGCAGTCACTCCACGCCAGGGCTTTTCCTCATACTTCGAGGATTGTTGACGTTTGCGGCACTTTTTTAAAGGAAAGGGAAATAATGTTCTTATCCATCCACCTGTTGCTAACACCGGCCGTCTCCGTTCAGCATAGTTTCTGAGGCTCTCCCTTGCCCAAGGAGCAAGGGAATGTGGAATCAATAAGATTTGGGTTCCAATCCTGGCACCTTCACGGACTGACTGTGTGGCCCTGGGCAAATATCTTATGCTTTCTGATTCTCAGTTTCCACACCTCAAAACTAGAGATTACCAAATAAAATAAAACGAGAACAACAAAACAAGAACGATTTCAGTTCTCTTCCCCAGCGCCCGGTTGCCTGGTCTCTTTTCTGTTTCAGCATGTATTTCTATCTTGCTTATCACTTTCCCTCTCTCTACCTCTGTCTCCCTGTGACTCTCAATTTCATGCTCCGGTCCTTGCCAGCTTCACATCTCTCTCCCCTTCCCTGTTTCAGCTTGGAGTGGAGCAGCAGTCATGAGAGGAGCCAAGGAGCCCAGGCTCACCCAGTTCTTCCCTTTCTGGCCTCAGGGCAGCTCCTCAGTGGGCCAGCCTCACTGAAGGGAAGTGGGAGCCTGCTGAGGGAGGAGGCAGGACACAGGGAGAGCTTACACACACCAGGATGTGCACTTAAACGCATTCATTCAGTGTCTCAGGGGAATGGAAGCAATAAATGAGAACTCAAGACTCTTCCACTTATTGCTCCAGCGGCTTGTCATTTTCCTAGGGTTTAACCCGAAATGTATGTCTTCCTTATTTAGCTTCCTGTACGGTCCACAGTCCCTGACAACCTCTCCAGCTGCACCTGTCTTTCCTCTGCACCATTCCAGCGGCCCTACTCTCCTCAGACCCACCAGCCTGTCTTTGCCCAGGCTAGCTCTTCTGGCTGCAGGGCTACTTCCAACTGGTCTGCCCGAGGCTGGCTCCTCATACTTCAGAGTTCAGATCCCCGTGGCACCACGCCGCTTCCTCAGCAAAGGCCTCTTGGACCATCTTAGTGAAAGCCAGACCTCCCTCCCTCTATCAGTGTTCCTTTTCCTCGCGGATGCGCGTCTCAGATTGCAGTTACATATCTATTTATGAAGTCTTCGTGAAAGCAAGGGCCGTGTCTATACCTACTCATTTGTCAGTTACCCACTCATTCCTTACTCACTGAGCATGCCAGGGATACCAGGCCCTGGGGGGACAAAGCTTCCCTAGGGGAGCTCACATTCTAAAGATGGAGAGAAATGCCAGATCTATCAAACAGCAGGGAGTCTGTTCAGAACTGCAGCAAACCACTTCCCCTATTGTTGGTTCCATTCACTTCTCCCCTCAACCCCCATGTAAGCTTCATGAGGGTGATGATTTTTTTTAACTTATGTTTTAATTTTAAGTTATATGTATGTCTATGTGCATGGGGGCGCAGTGCCATACAAGGCCGGAAGTGCTGGGTGGATGTCCCCGAGCTGCAGTTACAAGCGGTCAGGCCACTGGACAAGGGTGCTGGGAATCCATCCCGGGTCCTCTGCAACAGGAGTAAGTGCTCCTAACCACTGAGCCATCTCTGCGGCTGCCAGAGATTAGTAGTTATTTTGTTTTGTTTTGTTTTGTTTTAAATCTCCTCTGTGGCCTACGATAATCATTGAGCCAATGAGCCTCTGTCTGGTCACTCTTTGAGAAACGAATGCGTTTCCATGTGAATCTGTTCTCTCTCTCTCTCTCTTTTTACTTTACGAAGTTCAAGACAGACAACCTTGATTCAGATCTTGGCGTGGCCTCAGACTGATGCATAATCTTGGAAAAGTCACGCTCCGTAATCTCAATTTTTCTCAGCTCTGTAAGGGGATTAATGTGGTCTGTGCCTCCTGGGTTAGTGGTGAAGATGAACGGAGTCCACCGGGAGAGAGAGGCATGTACATGGCGCCTGGTTTTCCGTAGTCGCTGATAACTTGTTGTACAAGCGCTAGGGCTGGGCAGAGTTCCAAATTTGCTTGCTCCGAGTGCCGGAGGCTACCGCGGGAAGCACGAACGCTGGTGAGAAAGGTGGATTTCCTGTGGCTGGACGTGAAAGCCAGCATTCCAAAGGCCCAACAACGTTCCTTTGGTAGATGGGGAGTTCTCTATCATTGGAGGGAGGCAGGAATGTAGATTTGGGACCGTCGAGGTAGAAAGAAGTTAAGCAACACAGGGGACAGAGGGGCCAAGTGTCCCCGGGTCACAGCCTCAGAGCGATGAACGCGCTGAGGTTGTCGAGGCGAACACCGGCACCTTCAGATGGGTCTTCTCGACGGGGGGTGCTGGCGTGGGGGGAAGGGCGCGCCGGGGCCGGCTGGTCCAGGGGGCCCCGGGCCGCAGCGCGCGCCGCCGCCAGCAGGGGACGCCTCGAGACCGCGGAACCCGCGCCCGGGGGCCTGACGTCAGCGCCCCGCTCGCTCAGGCTCCCGCTCTGGACTCGGCGCCAGTCCCGCTCGGCGCGGCGCCGCTCCGCTCCG